GAAAGTGACGACCTGGCAAACAGTTATACCATGAAAGATACGGGAAGTTGTGCTGCGTAAATCCCATAATAGTTTAACAGGAGGACATCTCGGGGTTAAGAAGACATTGAGTCACCTACGACAAAGATTTTACTGGATAGGTATGAGGTAAGATGTGGAAGAATGGTGCAGGACATGCAGTACATGTTGTGTTAAAAGGGGACCCAAGCATAAGGGACGTGCACCAATGAAGTTATATCAAGTTGGCACACCAATGGAAAGAGTAGTCGTTGACATTGCTGGTCCTTTACTCCAAACTCGTGCTGCAAACAGGTACATTTGTGTGGTGATGGATTATTTTACCAAGTGGCCTGAAGCATATGCAATACCAAATCAGGAAGCTACAACTGTAGCTTCAGCTATTAGTGATTTATTCTTCAGGTTTGGTATGCCATACGAACTGCATTCAGATCAAGGCAGTAACTTTGAATCAGCTGTGTTCCATGAATGCTGCAAGTTGTTTGGCATACGAAAGACGAGGACAACGCCACTTCACCCACAGTCTGATGGGATGGTAGAAAAGTACAATTGGACACTTGGATAGGAATTGGCAAAGTTTTGTAATAGCCGTCAAGATGACTGGTATGTCTTACTCCCTCCTCTGTTGATGACCTATAGAACAGCAGAGCATGAAGCCACTGGATACACTCCAGCAAAGTTGATGTTTGGTCGGAAACTTCGGTTGCCAGTGGATCTGATAAGAGGACGCCCACATTACGAAGAGTTGCCTAAAAATGTGTCAGCTTTCGTGAAAGTGTTATCTGAAAGGATGGATGATATTCGCCATCAAGTGCGTTCAAACTTGAAAACGTCTGCTGATTCCATGAAGCTATGTTATGATAAGAGATCTACTGAAGTCAGCTTTGTACCAGGAGACAAGGTGTGGTTGTATAATCCCAGGAAGACCAAAGGGAAGTCTCCTAAGTTGTCTTCTCCATATTCCACCACTTAAAGATTTTTTACCCTAAAACTTGTATGTTTGATGTAGCTGTGCTTCGTCAGATAAAGATTTATACATTTGATGTAGCATTGCTCCGTCAGCTAAGGATTTCTAATCCTAAGACTTGTACATTTGGTGTTGCAGTATTCCACCACTTAAAGATTTCTAACCCTAAGACCTGTACATTTGGTGTTGCAGTATTCCACCACTTAAATATTTTTTACCCTAAGACTTGTACATTTGGTGAAATAATACTTCACTAGATTCGTTATTCTACACTTTAAGACATGTTTGGTACATAAGTGTTTCTCTAATTATTAAATTCTAACCTTAAAACTTGTACATTTTTGTTTAGTAATGCTCCACCAGCTAATAAAGTGTTAGTGTAGCTTATCAAGTACTTATAATCTGTGTAGACAAAGAAGTTAAAGTAGCATACAAAGAATTTCAATATTTAATTTACTGTGTTATTGTTATTCAACTCTTAAGATGTTTTGATCTGTACAATTTTTGTTTTTTGCTGAACTTCACATGAACTATACAAAAACAGCTAATTATACATAATAAATTCAGAGTTCACTACTTATATGCAGGGATAATAAACAATTTCATAGATTTTAGCAGTAAAATAGAAGTATAAATTACAGTTAATTATTTATTTTTAATGGCTGATTTCATACCTATGTAGTTGTTTTCCACAGGTGATTTTTTTACAAGTTAAATCACACTAACAACTTTTATGATAAAAAAAATTGTAAGTAGTTGAAACTTGTTGGAATTGTTCTTTCACAGATCAGTGGAGTCCACTTAATCTGGAAGGTAAAAAACAGTATGACCGTTCCTTTCTTCTACAGCTTCAGTCTGAAGTAGCTTCTCTGAAGAAACCCCAAGGGTTACCAAAGCTGGAAATTATCAAAGATACGGTGTGTAGTAGTGGTTATGGGTACGGGTGGGGGTTAGAATGTAGTAAATTAATGTGATTAAGATGGTGCCATAGTAATTTTAATTAATGTAAAACTAAAACACACTACAATGTTAATATTATTTGCACTATAAAACTTTAATAAAAAAGGATGTTAAACCCTGTTGTTTCAGCAGTAATCTACACTGCCCTCTTTAGGAGAAGCAAGGAGTTACAATGAGAGACAACTTGTATACCTTAACAGGTTCACACACATACAAGATTTAAGTGACTTACATAATTTGCCAACCTGTTATGCCCTCTATGTTTACAAAATAGATTTTCAAAATTTAATTTCTGTAATACCCAGACCAAAATCTTTATATAGAATAATATCACAGTTTTTCATGATTTCCAAAGATTCTGTAATATTTAATGCATTTTCTTTTATCAGTCTGTTTAACTAATTAAATGTTATGCTAATTGATAGAATGAACAGGTCTCCCCACATGTTCAGTCAAAGCTGATTTATTTAATTTATGTTTATCTTACAGCATTTTCATGTTCCTTGACTCTAAATTCCAAATTTCTGCATGTCTGACCAATGCAAATTAAACTACAGATACATGGAAGTTTATAGATACCATATTTTTTTATCCTGTTCTACTTTGTGATAAAATTTGTTAACCTATGATGGGGAGAATATTTTACATACAGCAATTAATCTTATTGTTAAATATGTTACCTAGTTTTGTGGAAATACCCTGAGCATATGGGAATCCCATTTCCGTATTATCCAAATAAGTATTTACTAGTACATTGTGATTTCTTTAACCTGTAACAGTACTTATTATAAATCCTGTCTGTGATGTTAGAATTAAATCCTCTATCATTGACAACACACTTTTAAAAAATTCGACTGTAACAATGAATCTTTATGATAGGTACAGATATTTAAAGCTCTTAAAGTCAAACGTAAAGAAAGCAGGCAATATTTTTTACCAGGGGTGACACGACACCTGTATGGTGGTAGGACAATTGAAAATGGTTTTCTGGACAGCAGAAAGAAAACCTTTATTACGTTTATCAGTCATCTCCAGAAAATTTCAGACAACCTTCCCCTTCAGTTTCTAGCATGAACTGAAAATAAGGCTTGCCAAATTTATTTAGTTTTTAAAATCAATTAACTTATTAATACCATGCCACCACATAAGAAATGAATCATCCACATATCTCCAAACATCTGGTTTAAATAAAGCAGTATTTAAAGCACAGGTTTCAAATTCATGCATAATTAGCCCACACAATAGGGGATGGTGAAGATAAGAGGGATTCATAACTGAACCCTTAATTTGCCTGTGAAAGTTTTATCAAACTTTAAAATATGTGTTACAAACATAGCATTGGATTGTTGAGTTAAGTTGAAAACTAGATGACAATCTCAGGGGTTGCACCATTGGCAGTCTTGCAGGTGATAGACAAGAGTTTCTTTACTAATGCTATCAGTAGCCTTCTGGCTGTGTATTATCTTATTGATTTACCATCGTTTGTTTTCCTAGCTACACAATTTAGTAATTTCTTTTCCAGCAGTCTCATTTGCTCTTAATGATTTGTAATGATGGAGACCTTCCATCGATGCTGCTTTTACCTTAATAGTACAGAGGTGGGTGATATCCTGCAAGTAGAGTTGCACTGGGTTTCATAAAGGGGCTTCTTGTACAAGTTGGTACAAGCAACCTTTCCTTGTTTAGCTTTACCTCTACATGGCCTTGTACATACATCCAAGTGATGGTCTTACTATATAGTTGCTTTATTTCTGTCATTCATCATGGAACAAACCACTCTGAATTTTATCATGTGTTGACTGTGAGTCAGTTGCAGATATTATGTTGGTGTCATTGTCTATTAATGGTTCAGTGCTTTTAGTAATCCAGAGAAGAGCTTGCTTTATGATTTCCAGCTTCATCCTTGTGCTGCTTGTGAAAAGCATGAATGCTCCACCAGCCTTATATAGAATATTTTTTTTCTCCACAAGCCAGTGAATGCCCAATCACAACAGAATGGCATTCTAACAGACTACTCACCCACTGCTACTTGCATGCTTTGTTAAGATGGACAGGGCTAGGAACTGGAGTTCTGAACAGTGAGTGGTTAATATCCTGCCTTCGAACGATGTTGCAACATCAGCTAAGATTTACAATATCAAAAGCTTCTAATAAAGATAACTTGCTACTCTATGTTCAGTGCAACATCGTACATTTTCTGCAGGAACGTTTGTGAAAAGAGAGACTACTCAAAATGAAGCTAATTGATTCTTTGATTCCAAATTAACTATTTGAGTTGTTTTAGAAAGTCTAATGAAGTTTTTATTATATAAATGTGAGAATTAGTAAAAAGGAACATTTTTATTAATAGATTTAACATACAAGTGTGACGAAGAATCAGTATTGCTCACAATAAGATAGAACAGAATACCAATTTTATGGAATTCCAGAAGGACATAAAACCAAGGCAAAATAAATCTCACGGGTTTAAACGCTTCCTTTCATTAGCAGTCAAAGTGACAATTTTTGACAACAGTTTTTACTCAGTTAAGAAGCATTGAATCAGGATCCGTTTTAACTTTGTTATATGAATCAACTTTCAACATTTCTTTAATTTTTTACTGTTATAATTACTTTTTTCTAAACTGACAATTTGGTCATCCTTATCAATTTTGGCAACTACAATATTATTATTTTTCTTAATTTATCATTAAATTTGAATGAAAAACAAATAATTTAATGGTTTATTGTTTTTACTGTTTAATCTGTGCTATAAATGAAAACACACAATTTAATAAATAAATTAATATGGCTCTTCTGAGTATATATATATATACAATTAAAAGAGTTACAGTTTTAAAATATTTGCACTATAAATAATTTATTGAAAATAGGGACCAGCAATAAAAAGACTGGAGATTGTGACCTAGAATACCAAACATGTAGTCTTTTTAGGGTTGAACCCTATTTTGAATAAATTATTTATTGTGCAGTTATTTGAATGTATACTTCTTTTAATTGTAAATAATTTAATAATTTTTTAATTGTTTAACCTAATATAAGTGATAATAGGCAACTTAATCGTTTTTACATCATTTGGATTTATTTTTCAAATGTATTAAATTTAATTTAACTAAGTCGTTATGGTTTGATCAAAAATTAATAAGTGTAAAATTAATTGAATTCATATGTGACCAGAATTTTTCTGAGGACTGTTAAAGAAATTGTTCTTTTTGATGCTTTTTTTTCCATCTATGTTCTAAACTTTCTTTTAAGTTTACGCTTGTGGATGTGCCATATTCCTTTTGTTTTTCGTTTGATAGTTTTGTATTTTGTTATACACATGTTTGTTTACATCATTACCTAGGGCTATTCCAAGCTTAATATACTGTTGCTTATCTGCTTGTTTGTTAATTTCCCGAAGAAATTCTTTCCCAGAAACTTCAGTGATACAAGTCCTTTCTTGATTAAAACTAGTTTATTCTTTCTCGATACAAACTTTGAAATACACTTAACAACTTTTCTAACACATGCTATAAATCACAGTGATTCACACACTTTACTTACAGTGCCTACTGTTCGCTTGATTCAATTATCTATCTCTTCAATCGTGCTGATTTTTCTCGTCAGGCTTATATACTAAAAAGAAGGTATCTTCATCAGACTAGAGTTGCCGGGCAAATTCATGATCCTTTGAGAAACTCCAGCGTGCATGACTTCCACTGTTGTAACACTGCCCCTTCCTTAGTATTGTTTCGTCCTGAACAATAGCCACATACATTTAACCAATAGATAATTAATAATAACTTAATTAAATGTACAGAATTTACAAACACAAAATTAAAATACAACAAAGTCTCTTAATTTTACAGGACGTTTCTTCTTTCGTACTGGTCTCTGTCTTATTGGCTTCTGCTTTACGTGGGATTCATCTGCTTCATCAGGAAATATCCCATTATCAGTAGCAGTCACATTAGTGGTAGTAACTTCATTAACGGCTTCACTGTTTTCCTTCTCAAAACGGGGTAGAGTTTCTTCTCTAATAATGGCTTTTTCAGGTGACACGTCTTCAGCAGCATAATTTTTTCTGTTATTCATTTCATTCCAACTGAAATGTCCTGGACCTTGATAATGCCAAAGCCTGTTTACCTCGTTGACCACATTTTATTTGAAAAGTCATGTCTGAGAGACGATCCACTATGTCATATGGGCCCTCCCCTAACCCTAAGACTTGTACATTTGGTGTTGCAGTGGGTGTGATATAAGTAATCTTTAACAATATTCCTAGTTAATGGGTGTGATATAAGTAATCTTTAACAATATTCCTAGTTAATGGGTGTGATATAAGTAATCTTTAACAATATTCCTAGTTAATGGGTATGATACAAGTAATCTTGTACCTAATGGACCAAGCAACGTATTAATTTTTTTATGTGGAAGAATGCCCCACCAGGGTTTAAGTTCTCAGTAGAAAACCAAGCTTGTTGTATTTCTGTTTTTAATTAACATCAGTGATGATAAAAAAGGACACAGATGGTAGCCAGAATCAAAGAAAAAGAAAGCCATTAATATTTTTCTGAATCAGAATGTTTACCTATAAATGTGATATACTAAAAGGGTTGATTTAATAATATTCAACTTATCTAAGTGTAATTTCTAATAGTACAAATATTATGTTAAACTGATTAAATTAAATATGTTAAATGTAGGAAGTTGAGTTTTTAATAATCATCATATAATAATTCCACCTGCTACTGATTAATGGTTTTTAGAGGTATTGGCTGTGGTGTAAGGTTTTTACTATTACCACTATAAATATTGCTAAATATTAATTTCCATCTGTAATAACTATGCTTACAACATTCTTGTTTGTTGAGTTTATATGTTAGTAATCAGTATGTGAAAAAAGTTTGTTTTTGCTAGAGCATAGTTTCCTTTCTTATATTTTTAAGTTATGTTTTTTATAGAACACAATTCCCAATTTGCCTCCAACACCAGGACAAGTCTCACCTAATCTCCGTTCTCAGGAATCTGTTGATCCAATTGGAATGTTACAAGAAGATCAGTATAAAGTAGAAGGAAAGACCCAAACCAACAGAAAACTTAGTCATGAAGAACAAGTAGTGGAAAAAAACCAAATTAACTTGATGGATAAAGGAGAAAATCAGATTATAAAAAGTAACTTAGATAACAAGAAAGCTCAAAATGAAGATCAAAATACTGACAATGAATTCAGCAGTAAGACGTTTTCACAAGAAGAGTTAGTTCCAGACAAAACCCAAATTAACATTAAAACACTGTCCCATGAAAATCAACTGACAGTGGATACCAAAGTAAAAGATTGTGAATTGAAGGAGGAGCAGGAAGCAACAGAGGAACTAGCAACAGTTAATGGACAAACAGAAGGTCAAATAACGTTAAAGTACAACTATCAAGCAGGTTGGTATTCTGTATGCAAGACTTGTACATTTTGTGTAGAAATGATCCACCAGCTGAGGATTTCTAATCCTAAGACTTGAACACTTGATGTAGCAGTATTCCACCAGTTAAGGATTGCTAACCCTAAGACTTGTCTATTTGATGTTACACTACTCCACCAGCTAAAGATTTCTAACCTTAAGACATAGACGTCTAGTGTAGTATTGCTTCATCAGCTAAGGACTTCTAATCCTAAAACTTGTATGTTTGATGTAGCTGTGCTTCGTCAGATAAAGATTTATACATTTGATGTAGCAGTGCTCCGTCAGCTAAGGATTTCTAATCCTAAGACTTGTACATTTGGTGTTGCAGTATTCCACCAGTAAAGGATTGCTAACCCTAAGACCTGTACATTTGGTGTTGCAGTATTCCACCACTTAAAGATTTATTAACTAGGAATATTGTTAAAGATTACTTATATCACACCCATTATATATTATATATTACTTATATATATATTACTTATATTATATATTACTTATATTCACACATTAACTAGGAATATTGTTGAAGATTACTTATATCACACCCATTAACTAGGAATATTGTTGAAGATTACTTATATCACACCCATTAACTAGGAATATTGTTGAAGATTACTTATACCACACCCATTAATTAGGAATATTGCTGAACATTACTTATATCACACCCATTAACTAGGAATATTGTTGAAGATTACTTATATCAAACCCATTAACTAGGAATATTGTTGAAGATTACATATATCACACCCATTAACTATGAATATTG